CCATAGTTTTGAGGAGTAAGGACATGATAAACTGATCCTTGCAAAGCCATGCACTGTATGTTGACGATGAGCTATCTGGAGCCACCACACTTCTATTGAAAAACCCTAATTTCCTTTTGCCTCTGAAAGCTAGTGAAACAGCTCAAGACCAAAGAAGATAATTAAGCACAAACGTTGATTGGTGTTAACCTCAACGTCTGAGAAATTTGGGGAAAGGCTATGCTGAGATTCTTCATTGCGATTTACTGAACTTTCTTTAGCCATGGCTCAAAGATGAAAGGAATAACGCAGCAATAAGAATGGCAGAGACAGGTTACGTCAAAACCCCCTATGATACCATGTGGATATTTTAGCTTTAAGTTTCAATGTATTTTTCATACAATGATTGAATGTACAATGGGGGATATATAATGAGGTAGAAGGTTACAAGCAACCCTACCTTGGCAAATCCTACTAACTCGGTAAACCCTAAAGCTATCACTCCTTAAATTAAGGAAGTGCAGCAATTAGCTAGCCCACAACTATCAACAAGTCACCTAGATGTCAATCTTCCTCAAATTAAGGGATTAGACTCAATAGAGAATCCCATGGAAAAAGGGAACATAAAATCTGGCTGCATCAATAACCCTATATCTTCTAATATCCATATGTAGCATCAGTGGGGTAGCTTATGCAGCATCAATCACCATATATCGTCTAATACAATTAATGGTAATGGTTAGAGTACAAACATTAGGATGAATTCCCGACACCCATTTTGTTATTCAACAACATGATTGTTGAGTAAGGTTTCAACTTGGCAAGTTGACCCAACATTTGAGGGAAATGGATAATGGAATGCAGAAGACGTCATTGAAGCACTTCGTTGAACACATTGAGAGCATCCTCAACATTAGTGATTTTCACACGCTAGTGTTGTTGGGTGTTTCTTGATTCTGTCGATTTAGAAGCTCGAGAGTGAAACAAACCCAGGTAATTGTTGAAGAAAACAACAACGGAAGAAGATTGAACAAGACAAGGCAGCATACCTCTGAGTCTGTTGTTGCCATAACCAATTTTCAAAGAAGAAGAAGAAACAGCAGCTGTTGTTGCCCGCATCATCTTTAGTAAGTCAGCGAGTCCGTGCTTAAATCCTCTTTTTGAAAAACGTTTGCTGAGGATGATTTGTGGAGGAAAGAATCTGCTTCAACATGTTAGCACGATTTTGTTTTTCTTATTAGTTTGACAACAAGAAAGGTAACTCTCAAGCTTCAATATCCCTATTTGACAAAGAAAATTAAAGACAGCTACCTAATAAAATAAGGTCAAAATAGTAATATCGTACCATTCACAAATATATATTACCAACAGGACTTGTGATCCTGCATTTCAACTCAAGGCATTTGTTTCAATGGTAAACTTGCCGGATAGCACTGCTCGGAGCGTAAATGAAAAGTTCCACTTTGAGATAGTCGTATTAGCATTTCACTTGATTTCTATTTGGCTAAGACCATCTCTAATGGTGGGCTAAAACATAAAATTTCCCTTCCCCCCCCCCCCCAAAAAAATCCACTCCAAACCATGACCTAAAATTAACCTAAAACCTAAAACTCAAATGGAGGGCAAATACTGGCCCAATTTTAGGCCATAAAGCAAATTGGGCCCCACCAACGGCTTAGATTGAATATAATCAAATCTAACGGCAAAAAAAAAGATCTAAAGGTCCAAATTTAAATCCAACGGCTAAAATAATTTAAAAAATTATTTAACTTAAAATTAAACCAAAAACTCTATAAATACCTATGTATTTGTTCAAACATCCACACAAAACTCACTTTTTTCCTACAATGCTTCCAATTTTTCTTTCTACCATTTCTTCTCATTTCCAAATTTTTCAAGATGGCAAAAGAGCATGTTAGAGGTCGTAATTAGACCTTTGATGAAGATATTGCCTTATGTTTGGCATGGATTTCTGTTAGCGAAGATGGTGCCGTCGGCACAAATCAAAATAGAAAGGTTTTGTGGGGTAAAATCATTGATAAGTTCCATGAAAACTCCAACGCCGGTCGAAGGGAAGTTGGTGGTGTTTATGATCGGTGGAAGATTATCAACAAAGCGTGCACTTTGTGGAAGGGAAGCTTGGAGAAAGCCATAGTTGACATGCCTAGTGGAAGGGGCACCTCATAAATTGTGAGTTTCTTTGTTGATATTTTAGTTGTCATGAACATAATAGTATTTTGCAACTAATTATTTTTATGCAGTTGTTGCATAGGGTGACAATGTGACATCCCACATCGCCCAGGGGAGTGATCCTTATATGTATATTCCCATCTCTACCTAACACGAGGCCTTTTGGGAGCTCACTGGCTTCGAGTTCCATGGGAACTCCGAAGTTAAGCAAGTAGTGCGTGAGAGCACTCCCAAGATGGGTGACCCATCGGGAAGTTCTCGTGTGAGTTCCCAAAAAAAAAACCGTGAGGGCGTGGTCGGGGCCCAAACTGGACAATATCGTGCTACGGTAGAGTCGGGCTCAGGAAGTGGTCCCGCCCGGGCTGGGATGTGATAGACAAAGCAATGGCAATTTACAAGACAAGAACTACACCAAAAAATCAAGCTTTTAAGTTGCATCATGCTTGGAACATCCTCAAGGATTGTCCGAGATGAGGAACCGATGCGAACCAACAATGTGGAAGATTATTTCATCGTGATGCCCAACCCCCAAATGAGGTCAATGAAGGTGTGAATTTTGCCGACAATGAAGGTGTCGAACAAATGACCCCAACATCTTCTTTTACAAGGCCCCCAGCTAGAGATAAGCAAAGGGATGCAAAGAGTAAAGGGAAGTCCCAAGATCCGATGCATGCACAATTTGCTAGCGAAATGGTAAGAATGAACAAAAACCATATCTCTCGGCAAGAAGAATCGTCCCAAATGCGTTTGGCCATGAATGAACAAGGGGATAGGGAGCAAGAAAGGTTCGAAATTAATTTGATGATGAAAGACCTCGACAAATACACTCCAGAGAGGAAGAAATACTTACGTGGTAAGCAAAAGAACATTTTACAAAGGAATGCCACAAGGAGTATATTTCAAGATGATGATTCATCTCAAGACCATCACCCAAGTCCATCACCAAGTCAAGATGGTGGATATCATTATTAAGTTTATGAGTTTTCGATTGTATTGAGTTTATGTAGTTTATTAATTGTCTTTTATTTTTATTTTATTTTTTATTTTTAAGTTTATGTGTTTTATTAACTGTCATTTGTATTAAGTGTATGTGGTTTATTAAATGTCATTTGTATTAAGTTTATGTGGTTTATCATGATTTTCATGTATTGATTTAGTGATTTTTCAAAATTTATCGGAATTTAAATATTTTTAGGTTAAAATGTTCATATAATTAATTGAGGATAGTCTATATAATTTTTTTTTTTTCTAAAAGTTAATTTAAAAAAAATTAGCCTTAATTTATTCTTTGATAATCTCGGGCTAAAATTTTAGGACATAAGGGTTGGAGCAGAAAAGCTGTTTCTGGGCTAAAACCTAATTTTCTAGGCTAAATATTTTTAGATTTTAGGTCACTATTGGAGATGGTCTAATATATACATTTTTAAAATTAGCTTTGATGGTTTTATTCATGCTCATCGTATTATGGCAATGCTGCTGCAGGGTTTGTAATCCAATAAAAAGAAACCATACATTTTCAAGCCTATACCACCAATGGATATGTCGACTTATGCTTCAAGCTTCAAACCAGGAGGTCTCTTGGATCACTCTGAGAGGTAGAACGACCACACTTTCTAGGGTTCACTAGAGTTAAAATGGTTGCTAACTCAAATCAGTCTTCATTCATGGTAGTAAACTGTAAAGATATCCAAATTCTTACAACATCTAATGCTGGTGCTCGTTTTCAGAAAGAAAGGCTTCCTGAGAAGTACATAGCCGTTGTATCAGGTGTCCCTTCGGCTTTTCACCCAGGAACTTGTAGTACTCGCAGTTGGAAGGAAAAGTCCGCCAATTTTTGCCTTGTATTGGGATATGAAATCGCAACTTTCTCTTCAGGTTGGTACTTACTAGCATATGCTCGCTTAATTAACCACCGTCAGTTGGGAGAAGGCATCACTGTAATGATTAACGCCACATTTATCCCAATTTGAGCTCTTCCAAATTGCTGGTCTTGTACTAGTCATCCAGTCTGTTTATCGTGTCAGCACTATTGAAATTTACTCAACACCTGCACCTGTTAATATGTCGACTTTGTTCGGGGCATGCATCTTAATTCTTCAGCCCTGAGCATCCTCCCTATTCTGGATTCAGAAACGGAAGACTGACGGAGCCAAACATTTACTAGCCATTTCCTACTTATTGCACATATATTACCAACAGGACTCGTGAACCTCCACATCAACAGCTCAAGGCGTTTGTTTTAATGGTGAACTTGCAGTCTTTTAGTGCAGATAGAAAAATGATTAAGAAAAGATGGTATTCATATATACTTTGTTTAATCACATCTGACATCGTTTGATCGGATACAGATTGTACCTTTCATGATGGAATTCGGATGCATCATTTGATCAGATGTGTATTGTAATTTTCATCTGGTGTTGGAGCAACTGCACAAGTTTAAGAAATCGATTGAGTCCTCCTCCTGTAGCTATCATTTCCTCCATTGCTTCTTTCATCAGACCCATATCCTTTAAAATTCATTACACATAAGCTCCTCAAGATGATTATTACCAAAATATAAAAGAGAAGTTAAACCAAGCCATAAATATGTCTACGAATTTCGTATCAGTCCCATTACTCTGCTTTTTCAACAGATATCATACATCACTAGCCAATGCATGAACGAATGGCTACCTGAACTGCACTCAGCAGCAGAACAACTCCCTCCAATGTAGCATTCAAGACAAGGAAGCACCGAAACTTGTCAAAACTGAAAAGATGCAAAACAATTTCAACACGGTCTTTCTATAAATGCCAACAAAGCGGGATCTACTTTATCTTTAGACAATAAATTAACAACCAACTCCATAGTTGATGCATCTGCAGAAAAAACCTCTCTCCACCATTTCTTGAATAAGCCTCACCGCTATTGATGTCTCGTTGATATTGATAAACCCTCGGATAATTGTGTTGTACGTGCAACTATCTGGACAACAACCTTTCTCTTCCATTTCTCTAAGCAAGTTTTCTGCTTCACTTGCTAGTCCCCGGTTACAAAATCCACTAATCATTATGGCATATGTTCTGACATTAGGTTGAATTCCCTTTGATGATAAACTACAAAAGAGATCCCATGCATGTTCAACTTTTCCAGCTTTGCACAATCCTTCAATAAGAATATTGTAAGTTATAATAACAAAGTCCAACTTCTTTCCCTCCATCTCTTCCAACAATTCAACTGCCTTGGGAAATTGTTGGTTTGCACACATGCCATGCAATAAATAGAATAAGTTTGAATGTCTGGAAGTTGGCCACAAGCTTGCACTTGAGAGAACAAGTTCAGTGCATCTTGTGTTCTCCCCATCTTGCAAAACCCATCGATAAGAGATCCCTTGCGTATTCAACTTTTTCAGCTCTACACAAACCTGCAATTAGAATATTATAAGTTACAATGTTAAAATTCAACTTCTTTTCCTCCATCTCTTCCAACAATTCAACTGCCTTGGAAAATTGTTGGTTTTTACAGAGGCCATCCAGCAAAATGTTATAAATCTGAACATTTGGAAGTTGGCCCCTAGCTTGCATTTGAGAGAACAAGTTCAGTGCATCTTGTGTTCTCCCCATCTTGCAAAACCCATCGATAAGAGTGCTATAAGTAACCGTATTTGGAACAACTCCCTTATGAGACATTTCCAGAAAAATCATCTGAGCATCATCTATCCTTTTACACTTACAATAGCCATTTATCAATATGCTATAAGTACGAGCATTAACCATGCCTTTGCTAAGCATTATTTCAAAGACCTTTTTCACCTCGTCCATTTCACCTCGCAAACAGTAGCCATCTATAAGCGAATTGTACATAATTGTATCGGGTGCAATATCCCCTTGCGTCATCATTTCAACCATGCTCCTTGCTTCCTGGACCATCCCCTCTTTGCAGAATGTATCAACCAAGACATTGAAGGTGTGCACATTTGGAAAGATATGTTTCATTAAACAATCTTGTAGCTTCTTTCCGCCTCCCTACTTTGCAAACTCCGTGAATCAAAGAGTTGTAGGTAATGACGTTGGGAGCAATGCCCTTACTCATCATTTCTAAAAAGAGGTTCAGTGCATCAACAACTAGAGCATCTTTGCAAAGACTGTCGATGATCGTGTTGTAGACAATTACGTTAGGCATGCAAGCATTTTCTTCCATCTTCTTAAGCAATTGGATTGCTGCACTATTGTTACCTTTCATGCAAAGACCCTTAACTAATGTGCCGAAAGAAACCGCATTCGGCTTGCAATTACCACTCTCCAACATTTTATTGAAAAGTGCTGCAGCCTAAGTAAGCCGTTGATTAGAGTGGTGTAGGTCATGACATCTGGCTCAAAACCTAATTTGAATAAGTTGCCCAAGACTGACAAACTAAACTCCACTTGGTTGAGATGACAAAAGCAAATAATGATAATGGCTAGAGTATAAACATCTGGACGAAATCCAGACACACCATTTGGTTATTCAAGGAGATGACTGCCGAATAATGTTTGAACTTGGCAAGTTGAGTCAAGATTTGGTTGAAAGGGACAACGGAAGGCAGAGGACGCCAAGTAATTGAGAGCATCCTCAACATTACAGATTTTCACAAGCTAGTTTTTTGTTGAGTGTTCCTAGATTCGGTCAATTTAGAAGCTCGAGAGTGAAACAAAGCCAAGTAATTGTTGAAGAGAACAACAACAGGAGAAGATTGAAGAAGGCAAGGCAGCATACTTCTGGTGCTGCTGCTTCCATAAGTCAGCGATCGTTGCCCGCATCATCTTCAGCATCTCTAAGTCAGCGAGTTGAGAGTTGCTCACAAATCAAAGAGTAATTTAAAGACTGTTTGTGAGAGTTGAAGAGCATGAATTTCATGTTTTTTTCTAGTTCTAGATTAACGCCAATTATAAATAAAAACACAAATCAACGAAAAAAAAAATGATGCTTTTTTGTTGGGACAATATAAGCATGAAGAAGAACACCCCGACAATTATATATACAAATAAGCCCCGTATTTTATATGACACGTCTTGATTTCAATTATTGACATTGGTGAATCACATGATGGTGGTCAGGAGAGGCTGAAATATTTCTGTAAATTTTTTTGGCCTCCGAAAGAATGAACTGTTGTGACAAAGCTACCAGTACTACATTAAAACTGAATAATAATATTTTTTTTTAACAAACGATATTATCTACACCAAGAAAGAGGGAGGGAGTGGGCAAAACCTCACAATGGGTTAGCCATATTAATGTGGTTCAAATCTAAGACATCTGACTTACAAATGAAGAGAAATATCACTAAGCTGTTGTATTAAGTGGAAATTGAAGTCGTTATTAGATGCAAAAGTGAGAAGTACTGAGCATGAAAGTTTTGCATGCTTAAAGCCGTGAAACGAGTCAGCAATGAAGAGCACAAGTATTCAACAATTGTCCATGTCCGAATTGTGTGAGTTACATACACTAGTATTTGTCTACACACTTTATGTGTATGAACACATTTTTTTTATAAGCTGAGAAGGAGAGAGGGAGAGAGAGAGAACGTGGGGGGAGTGTAGGCCTGGCAAACGGATCATGTCTATCGTGTTCTTGTCGTTTTCGTGTAACACCTGTTATCTTAACGAGTCGTGTCGTGTCACACCCGTTATCTTAACGGGTCCGTAACAGGTCGTGTCACTTTATCCAACGGGTAAAGTGACCCGACCCGTTATGACCCGTTAAGAAAAAAATATATTTTTTAAAAATTTGCACATACCACACATTGCCACATAAATATTACTTCAAAACATTAAAACATTTCTCATTCAAGTACTATATCTACACTCGAAAATAAAAGCCTAATAAAAAAAATAATACATACACTACTAATCTATTACAAATATTAAATGTGCAAGGATAAAGAGTTTTTGTTTTTAAGATTGTAAGTCTTTCTCAAAAGTTTACACCTCCATTTACAAAATCTTCAATTTACATCGATCATCATGAAATTGTATTGGAACTTTGGCTTGATCTATTGCCTTCAAGAGTTATGTTGAAGATGTTTTCAGTAAGCTTTTCCACGTCAGAACTCTCTTCCGCATAAACTAAGTATAGAAAAAGCAAACATTAAAAATCATTCAATTATGAAAAGTTAAACAAAATAATTATGAAAAGAAATAAAATAATAATACTATACCATATAAAAATATATTGCCTCCTTTTCCAAATAGCCAATCTCGTGTGCACAACAAAGCTATTTTTAAATTTAATCTCAGCCGATCCAATGGTCATCAATTTTTAATCTCAGCCGATCCAATGGTCATCAATTTTTAAATTTAATTTAATATATATAATTATTATAGTTTTTACTTTTTAGGGATATAAAATTATTAAACTAAGGTATATAATTATTAATATTATAGTTGATTCATACTTTTATTAAGTATATAAATTATAACATAAGATTTTGTGATATCCACATCCACTAGTGTAAATATTTTAAATTGAAGATCAAATTCATTCTTTGTATTCATATAGGGTCAAGGAGTGTAGCTGTAAAAATTCATCAAAATCAGAGTTAAAATAACCGTTAAATCTTGATTTTTCGTTTATAACCGTCGAAAAGCTTTGTCCCGTTACTTGATCTCTGAATGTTTTTTTTTTTGTGATTTTTTGCTGATGTGATCTCCAAGAATATACAAACAATTTTGACGGTTTGGATCGTTGAAATTAGTTTTGGAGAATTCGTATCCCATCAAAACGATAGATTGACTAACACTTAGAGTTTATTTATACTTTCATTAAGTATAACATAAGATTTTGTGGTATCCACTTGTGTAAATATTTTCAATTGAAGATCGAATTCATTCATTGTATTCATATAGGATCAAGGAGTGTAGTTATGAAAAATCATCAAAATCGGAGTTAAAATAACCGTTAAATCGTGATTTTTCGTTTATAACCGTTGAAAAGCTTTGTCCCATTACTTGATCTCTGAATGTTTTATTTTTTTGTGATTTTTTGCTGATGTGATCTCCAAGCATATACAAACAATTTTGACGGTTTGGATCGTTGAAATTAGTTTTGGAGAATTCGTATCCCATCAAAACGATAGATTAACTAACACTTAGAGTTTATTTATACTTTCATTAAGTATAACATAAGATTTTATGGTATCCACTTGTGTAAATATTTTAAATTGAAGATCGAATTCATTCATTGTATTCATATAGGGTCAAGGAGTGTAGTTATAAAAAATCATCAAAATCGGAGTTAAAATAACCGTTAAATCGTGATTTTTCGTTTATAAGCATTGAAAAGCTTTGTCCCATTACTTGATCTCTGAATGTTTTTTTTTTGTGATTTTTTGCTGATGTGATCTCCAAGCATATACAAACAATTTTGACGGTTTGGATCGTTGAAATTAGTTTTCGAGAATTCGTATCCCATCAAAACGATAGATTGACTAACACTTAAGAGTTTATTTATACTTTCATTAAGTATAACATAAGATTTTGTGGTATCCACTTGTGTAAATATTTTAAATTGAAGATTGAATTCATTCTTTGTATTCATATAGGGTCAAGGAGTGTAGTTATAAAAAATCATCAAAATCGGAGTTAAAATAACCGTTAAATCGTGATTTTTCGTTTATAACCGTTGAAAAGCTTTGTCCCGTTACTTGATCTCTGAATGTTTTTTTTTTTTGTGATTTTTTGCTGATGTGATCTCCAAGCATATACAAACAATTTTGACGATTTGGATCGTTGAAATTAGTTTTGGAGAATTCGTATCCCATCAAAACGATAGATTGACTAACACTTAGAGTTAATTTATACTTTCATTAAGTATAACATAAAATTTTGTGGTATCCACTTGTGTAAATATTTTAAATTGAAGATCGAATTCATTCATTGTATTCATATAGGGTCAAGGAGTGTAGTTATAAAAAATCATCAAAATCGGAGTTAAAATAACCGTTAAATCGTGATTTTTCGTTTATAACCGTTGAAAAGCTTTGTCCTGTTACTTGATCTCTGAATGTTTTTTTTTTTGTGATTTTTTGCTGATGTGATCTCCAAGCATATACAAACAATTTTGACGGTTTGGATCGTTGAAATTAGTTTTGGAGAATTCGTATCCCATCAAAACGATAGATTGACTAACACTTAGAGTTTATTTATACTTTCATTAAGTATAACATAAAATTTTTTGGTATCCACTTGTGTAAATATTTTAAATTGAAGATCGAATTCATTCATTGTATTCATATAGGGTCAAGGAGTGTAGTTATAAAAAATCATCAAAATCGGAGTTAAAATAACCGTTAAATCGTGATTTTTCGTTTATAACCGTTGAAAAGTTTTGTCCTGTTACTTGATCTCTGAATGTTTTTTTTTTGGGGCTTTTAGATCCAGGTCCAAAAATGTAGAGTGTTTTTAGGACTGAGTCCAGTTATCTAATTATTTGTTTTTATTTCTTTTATACTCATTTTATATTTTCTAAAAATATTAAAAATCAATTAAAATCTTCTAATATTATGCATTTTCCAACTCCAAAAGAATATATTTAATATCTTATAACAAAAAAACTAATATACTAACATAAATTTATCTACAAAACATTCTACCCTAACTCAAGTAACAAATATATGAATGTATATAATACCTATACGTGAGATATGAAACCTAATTAAAATGTAGAAAAAACATAACATACCTACAAGTAAGACACATTAATCTGTGACAGGTTGATTATAAAAAAAGAATCTGTTATATAGGTAGATAAATATAATTAACCTGTGATATAGGTTGATTATAAAAATTAAAAATAAAATCTATAAATGGGGTTTAAAGTAGGAGGAAGAATGAGAAATAATAAAAAGATAAATAAAAAGAAATAAGCAAAGAGATAATTGGGAAGAAATTTGATTTTTATAATAAATCTTATCATTGAACAGATAACTATTGATAATTAAATAATTAAATATAACAAATTGGACTTATTTTAATAAACTGGACTATTCCTACAATTGGCTCAAAAAATTGGACTTATATCAAGTTTCCCCTTTTTTTTTTGTGATTTTTTGCTGATGTGATCTCCAAGCATATACAAACAATTTTGACGGTTTGGATCGTTGAAATTAGTTTTGGAGAATTCGTATCTCATCAAAACGATAGATTGACTAACACTTAGAGTTTATTTATACTTTCATTAAGTATAACATAAGATTTTGTGGTATCCACTTGTGTAAATATTTTAAATTGAAGATCGAATTCATTCATTGTATTCATATAGGGTCAAGGAGTGTAGTTATAAAAAATCATCAAAATCGGAGTTAAAATAACCGTTAAATCGTGATTTTTTGTTTATAACTGTTGAAAAGTTTTGTCCCGTTACTTGATCTTTGAATGTTTGTTTTTTGTGATTTTTTGCTGATGTGATCTCAAAGCATATACAAACAAGTTTGACGGTTTGGATCGTTGAAATTAATTTAAGAGAATTCGTATCCCATAAAAACAATAGATTAACTAACAATTCTTAGAGTTTATTTATACTTTCTTCAAGTATAACATAAGATTTTGTGGTATCCACTTGTGTAAATATTTTAAATTGAAGATCGAATTCATTCATTGTATTCATATAGGGTCAAGGAGTGTAGCTATAAAAAATCATCAAAATTGAAGTTAAAATAACCGTTAAGTCGTGTTTTTTCGTTTATAACCGTTAAAAAGCTTTGTCCCGTTACTTGATCTCTGAATGTTTATTTTTTATGATTTTTTGTTGATGTGATCTCAAAGCATATACAAACAAGTTTGACGGTTGGGATCGTTGAAATTAGTTTTGGAGAATTCGTATGCCATCAATCAAGTTCCGTGTGTGTGTGTGTGTGTGTGTGTATATTTATTAAGTAGATTTAAATCTATTTATTTTGTACGTATAAATTATAATTGACTGGTACACGGAATAGTACATACATCACGTGTCACGTGTGTCATTATAAAAATAGTGAGATATGTCATGACAGTCATGTGTGTGATAAAAAGTTAATAACTTAAAAAAAAAAAAAAAAAAATATTTCTCACCACTTCTATTAATTTTCATTTTTCCCTCTCTTTTTTGTTTCCTTTTCAACTTTTTCTTATCATTTTCACTTTTCCCTCCAACATCTTTCCCTAATTCCCTCACTTTTTTGTTTCATTTTCAACTTTTCTTAACATTTTCATTTTCCCTCCATTTTTTTTTTCAAAAAGGGCGGCAAGTTGGCAACGGCAAGAAATTGATTATTGAATAGAAAGAAATCACATCAATGGATGCAAAATCATGCAATGCATCATGCATATTAAATTATTAATTAATAATTATTATAGTTTTTATAAAATTTAATATATATATATATATATATAATTATTATAGATAGACTTAATATTTTGGGGGTATAATTATTATAGTATATATAATTATTATAATTATTATAAATTTTATAGTTAATTTAATATATTATATATATATATTTATTATAATTTTTAGGGGTATAAAATTGTAAAATTAATGTATATAATTATTACAGTATTTTTTTAGGGTTATAAAATTATAAAAATAATATTCTGCTTATCGTGTATCGTGTTACCCACGTGTATACCCGAACCAACCCGTTATCTTAACAGGTGCTTATCGGGTTACCCGATAACGACCCGATTCGTTATCGTGTCGACCCAAACACCTGTTAATTTCGTGTCGTGTCGTGTCGTGTCGGATTATCAGGTCGTGTCAGAAATTGCCAGGCCTAGGGGAGTGGGAGGTTTTTGTTTTTGATATTTTTATTTTTTATTTTTATTTTTTTGAAATAAATATTGGAGGTATTTTAACATCATATATTGATGAGGCTTTGAAAAAAAAAAGAGCAAAATTTGGTTGTGTGAAATTACATTTCTGCCCCATATTTCTTATTCATGTTCTATTTTAATTAGAGAGTTAAACTGGTAATTTCATAGGGTTTTGGTTGACAATGAGTGTTTTATTAATTAGTAGAGATTTCTTATTCATATTCTGTTTTAATTAGAAGGTTAAACTGGTAATTTCATAAGATTTTGGTTGAAAATGAGTGTTTTATTAATTAGTAAAGATATAGCCCTAAGTCAAGTGTCAAATTTACAAACTAATTAGGTAATTGTGCACCAAAAATATGAAGGCAAACTGAAAGTTACAACAAAACGATAAAATAATAAGGCGTCAAGTTAAGCAAGATAGTACAACACATGAACAATTAAGATTACCATTGAGAAAACCGAACATGTATGATTAAGATAATGGTTGACAAACTCAAATTGTTCCTTCAAACATGCATAGAATTGTCTTTAGCCTTTCAAAATACATCACAATAGCATACTATTGCTAAAATTTCTAACCTAATGAAAAGTAAAATTAATAAACAAAGGAAATTACAGCTTCCAAGAAAAAAAATAAAAGCCAATGTGCAACGGTTGAGGAAAGAAATGCAAAACATGAAGGGGCAAACAGAAATATTTGGTATTTCACACTCTCTCATTTTTTTTCTCTTTCTTCTTCCTCTTCCAGCAAACTTTCTTATAATTGTATGTAACAATTTCTTAAAGTCTTACAATTGTAGGGTTTTGCACAAATGAATTGGATCCCATCCTAGGATCCCTGCATCTTAGCTGTTCATCGTATATCGTGCGGTCAGAAATCATTTGATTTTTTTATTTAAAATTAAACACAAATAATATCTGACGAAAATTGACCGTACGATGTATGATGAACAGCTAGGATGTGGGATTCCCTCGGATCCTCACAAAGTGGATCTGAAGAGGATCCCTTTCCTTGCACAAAAAGAAAGAGGAGATGCTGACGTTTGGTGAGATATGTTAGAATCATGTGGGTAAAAGATATGTTAGAATCACATGGGTGAAACTTCAAAAAATAAAATTGATATTCTTATCACATATTTGTATTATCTTTCTAACAGAGATATGACCCACATGTGATGATGGCCCCACCGCTATTAGAGAGATGATTCAAATGTGTAAATAGGTGATAAGTGTAGCATTACTTTTTAAAAAAAACAGCAAAATTTGATTTGTGTGAAATTACATTGCGGCCCATATCTTTTATTTCTATTCAGTTTTGATTAGTAGGTTAGACTGTTAATTTTATAAAATTTTAGTTGACAATCAAAGTTCTATTGATATGCAATTTAACTAATTGGACATAAAAGCCCTTCAAACGAAAAATTAAATCTTGAAATTGAAAAACGTTGTATAACCACTTAGTACTAGAATTTTGACGACATTTCTCTTCCTTTGTAGGTGAGAAATCTGTGATTCGATTCTCATCAACAATTTATTTGAACCATATTATTACTAGCCCATTGTAAAGCTTAGCTCACTCCCCACCCCCATTAAGTCTACATAATTCATACTAGTCCAGATACTCTGCTTCAGAAACAGATTTCATAATCTTAATTGATAAATTCAGTTAATAACACATATACGTCACTAAGGCAATGCATGAACGAAAGACTACCTGAACTGGACTCGACAGTGGAACAAATCCCTCCTCCAATGTAGCATTCAAGGGAAGGATGCACCGAAACTTGTCAAAACTAAAAAGATGCAAATCAATTTCATCATGGTCTTTCTATAAATGCCAACAAAGTGGCATCTACTCTATCTTTAGACAATAAATTAACGATCAACTCCGTAGTTGATGCATCTGCAGAAAAACCCCTCTCCACCATTTCTTGAATAAGCCTCACTCCCGTTGATGTCTCGTTGTTATTGATAAACCCTCAGATAATTGTGTTGTACGTCCAACCATCTTGAGAACAGCCTTTCTCTTCCATTTCTCTAAGCAAGTTTTCCGCTTCACATATTAGCCCTCTATTACAAAATCCACTAATCATTGTATTATACATCCTGGCATTAGGTTGAATTCCTTTTGATGATAAGCGACAAAAGAAATCCCACGCATATTCAACTTTTTCAGCTATGCACAAACCATCAATAAGAATATTGTAAGTTACAATATTAAAATCCGACTTCTTTCCCTCCATCTCTTCCAACAATTCAATTGCCTTGGGAAATTGTTGGTTTGCACACATGCCATGCAATAAAATAGAATAAGTTTGAATGTCTGGAAGTTGGCCACAAGCTTGCATTTGAGAGAACAAGTTCTGTGCGTCTTGTGTTCTCCCCATCTTGCAAAACCCATCCATAAGAGTGTTATAAGTAACCGTATCTGGAACAACTCCCTTATGAGACATTTCCACAAAAAGCATTCGGGCATCGTCTATCCTTTTACTTTTACAGTAGCCGTTTATCATTATGTTATAACAACAAGTATCAACCATGCAGCCTTTGCTAAGCATTACTTCAAAAACCTTTTTCGCCTCGCCCATTTCTCCTCGCAAACAGTAACCATCCATAAGCAAATTGTATGTAACTGTATTAGGTTTGATATCTCTTTGAATCATCATTTCAACCAGGCTCCTTGCTTCCTGGACCATACCCTCTTTACAATATGTATCAACCAAAACACTGAAGGTGCACATGTTTGGAAAGATTTGTTTACTCACCATTTCATTAAACAATCTTTTAGCTTCTTTCCAATTCTCTACTTTGCAAAATCCATGAACCAAAGAGGTATAGGGAATGACGTTGGGAGCAATACCCTTACTCGTCATTTCTGAGAACTAGAGTATCCTTGCAAAGACTGTGTATCCTTGCAAAGACTGTCGATGATCGTTCTATAGACTACTATGTCAGGCTTGCAAGCTCCTTCTTCCATCTTCTTAAGCAATTGGATAGCTGCAGTGTTGTTACCTTTCAAGCAAAGGCCCTTTACTAGTGTGCCGAAAGTAACCACATTAGGCTTGCAATTACCTCTCTCCATCATTTTGTTGAAAAGTGCTGCTGCCTCAGCCTCTCTATCCTCAAGAAGATAGCCGTTGATTAGAGAGTTGAAGATTGCGGGATCTGGTTCAAAACCCAATTTGAAGTTTTCCCAAGACAGATAAACTGAAACTCATTTGGTGTAAATGACGAAAGCAATTAATGACAATAGCTAGAGTAAATGCATCAGGACGAATTCCGGTCGCAACCATCCGGTTAATAACGAGTGATTTCCCTATTTTTGGTGAAAACCGACTCATTCACTGTGCTCGAAGGCGTCATAAAAAATAATTGGACGTAAAAGCAGAAAAATATAACTCTTGAAACAGAAGAAGGTTGTGTAATGTAAGAGTAAAATATTAAAATTGAAAGGATTTTTTTAATTTCAAAAATTAAAAACAAACAAGCTGCTATTGCATTCAAACAAGATTAGTTTGTCGCAATAGTGTAAATAATATCGTTTGTTCAAAAAAAAAAAAAAAAAACTAGTTGTTCACTTTGCGCAAGGTTGGAATTTGGAACTAGCCTTCGACTTTCCGTATAATTTTTTATTTGAAACCGGTAGTCTTGAAAACAAAAATTGAGGATTCACACAAATAGGTGAATATTTCCCGTGTTTGTTAGACACAGGAAACATAAGTCTAATGAGATTAAATTAGACTCGCTCCGACTAACCCCTTAGCTAGAACTCCTTAGCGAGAACTCCCAAATTTGACAGGATTACTAAGGCCATCTCCAACAGAATAAGGGCCAGAGAGCTCGTTTTAGCCCTATAGCCCTCCAAGAAATTAATATTTTAAAAAACAATGCCAAGCCATATTTTTTACCATCTCCAACTGAGAGGCCAAAGGGCCAAAGACAAAACATAACCCTGTGGCAAAAAACCATCTCCAACCGAGGGGGCTAAAAGGTCATAGGACAAAACATAATTTATTATTTTAATTTAAAAATTACAACAACTTAAATTTAAAAACTATAACAACTTAAATTTAAAGTCTAAAATCATCATCATCATCCGCCATTGTAGGATGATAGTCGGAGGTAAACAACTGCTGTAGGGTCATAATTTCCCTCTTTTTCCTATTAAAATTGGCCTTACTCATTGGAATGTAATCCAAAGTGTTCCCTTGCATATTCATATCATCCATCTCTTCTTGTATTTGTTTGGCTCATTCTTTATGCCTACAATTCCTTTCTTCCACGGCAATGGCATTTTGGTCCGCCATTAATCGCAAAAGGCTTCCATTTCCCATTGAAAGGTGATATCATCATTTGCCTTACCCTTTTCCTTCAATTTTTGGGCCTTGTTTCGTCCCATAGCCCTAGGTATGGAACCTTCACCGGACATGGATTTTCTACCCTTGTTTCTTAAATGGTAGAAGATCCATCTTCATCCCCATCTACAGCTGAGGATGCAGTTCCGAAAACTAGCGTAGGACCTACACTATGTTGAGGTGGATCTTCAAATAACACCCACCCTTTACAAATTTCCCAACAACCGTGATGCTAAAAGGGTTTCGAGTTGTCCTCCATATACAATTCCTCCGCTTCGCGTACCTAGAAAACATAATTACAAAAATTAAAGGAAATTAATTTATGAAATTAAATGTAATATAATTAAATATTTAAAATAAATTGTGAAAACACTTACTTCGTTGCAGTAATTGGCGCCGCTTTCATGTCTACTTGCGACCATTAACAGTGCTTGATGTTATTTATTCAAACTTGGATGAATATGTTTCTTCCATCTTGAAGAACAACTCTAGTTGTTTCGAGTATTCTATGGAGTGGTGCCTTTGTAGAACTCATAGTTTTTTTTTTTTTTACACACGAGTCCAAACACCTTCACTTGTTTGAGAAGTCCCCCTCACACTATCTTCTATAAGCCCTGCAAAGAGCTTCATCTTCTTTTCGGGTCCAAGCCCTACCTTTCATTGCAGGTGTGGCCATTTGAAAATTATTGAAACAAATTGAAGGAAAGATTATTGGAAGAGGTAAGAAAATAGAATGTGAAGAATTGATATAGAATGAAGTGAGATCGTATGGAATGATTAAAATTATGTGAGAAATGGTGTAGGAGTGGCTTAGGTACTTATAGGGAAAAAATGGGATGTTTTTTTTTAAAAAAATTTGGCCAAAAAAAAAAAATTCAAATCCAACAATAACTGACATCAACTAGCCCTTGGTTTAAAAAATTTGGCCCGGCCTGGGGTTGGCTAGTTGGCTGGGTTGGGCCAACCGGTTAGCCCTTTTCTCCTTTTTTGGGCTGGTGAGACCCACGAGCCCTTTGGCGTAGCCCTCGGTTAGAAATGATTTTCGTGTCATTTCAGTCTATTTTCAACCTCTGGACCTCTGGCCAGCCCTTTTCTCCTTTTTTGGACTGGTGGGACCCACGAGCCCTTTGGCCTAGTCCTTAGTTGGAAACGATTTTCGTGTCATTTCAGTTTATTTTCAACCCTCTGGACCTCTAGCCGGATCAATTGGAGATGGCCTAAGACCATCTTCAAGAGAGAGGTGTGCCCTCCCCCGTAGAACCCAGGTTCCAATCATCGACTATGTTGTTTAGATTAACGTAGTGTTCATGAATTCTACTTTCCAATCATTTCCTCCATTGCTCCTCCTTAACAGAAATTATCACAAAAAAATAACTGAAAAGCTAAACCAAGCCATAAATATGTCTACGAATTTCATATCAGTCCATATACTCTGCTTCTCCAACAGATTTCATCATACCATAAAAGTTGCTCTATCATTCCATAAATTATTAACTTATCATTCGTCAAAACTGAAAAAATGCAAAACAATTTCATCATGGTCTTTCTATAAATGTCAACAAAGCGGGATCTACTTTATCTTTACACAATAAATTAACAATCGATTCTGCAGTTGATGTATCTGTAGAAAAACCCCTCTCCACCATTTCTTCAAAAGCCTCACTGTCGTTGATGTCTCGTTGTTATTGATAAACCCTCGGATAATTGTGTTGTACGTGCAACCATCTAGAGAACAACCTCTCTCTTCCATTTCTTTAAGCAAGTTTTCTGCTTCACTTGCTAGTCCCCCATTACAAAATCCACTGATCATTATAGTATATGTCCTGACATTAGGTTGAATTCCTTTTGATGATAAACTACGAAAGAGATCCCATGCATATTCAACCTTTTCAGCTTTGCACAATCCTTCAATAAGAGTAGTGTAAGTTACAATATCAACATCCAACTTCTTTCCCTCCATCTCTTCCGACAATCCAACTGCCTTGGGAAATTGTTGGTTTGCACACATGCCATGCAATAAAATAGAATAAGTTTGAATGTCTGGAAGTTGGCCACAAGCTTGCATTTGAGAGAACAAGTTCTGTGCATCTTGTGTTCTCCCCATCTTGCAAAACCCATCAATAAGAGTGCTATAAGTAACCGTATCAGGAACTCCATTATGAGATATTTCCACAAAAAGCATTCGGGCATCATCTATCCTTTTACGCTTACAATAGCCGTTTATCAATATGTTATAACTATAAGCATCAACCATGCAATCCTTGCTAAGCATTAGATCAAAGATCTTTTTCCCCTCGTCCATTTCTCCTCGCAAACAGTAACCATCCATAAGCGAATTGTAAGTAACTGTATTAGGTTTGACACCTCTTTGAATCATCATCTCAACCACGCTCCTTGCTTCTTGGACCATCCCCTCTTTGCATAATGTATCAGCCAAGACACTGAATGTGTGCACATTTGGAAAGATATGTTTACACACCATTTCATTCAACAATCTCGTAGCTTCTTTCCACTTCCCTATTTTACAGACTCCATGAATCAATTTGTTATAGGTAACAATAGTTGGGGAAATACCCTTACTAATCATTTCTGAGAAGATGTGCAGTGCATCAACAACTAGAGTATCTTTGCAAAGACTGTCGATAATCGTGTTATAGATAACAACGTTAGGCTTGCAAGCTCCTTCTTCCATCTTCTTAAGCAATTGGATAGCTGCAATGTTGTTACCTTTCATGCAAAGGGCCTTTACTAAGGTGCCGAAAGTAACAACACTTGGCTTGCAATTACCTCTCTCCATCATTTTGTTGAAAAGTGCTGCTGCCTCGGCCTCTCTATTCTTAAGAAGAAAGCTGTTGATTAGAGTGGTGTAGGTTGTGACATTTGGCTCAAAACCTAATTTGAAGAAGTTACCCAAGACTGACAAACTAAACTCCATTTGGTTGAGATGACAAAAGCAATTAATGATAATGGTTAGAGTATAAATATCTGGGAATTCCGGACACAACCATTTGGTTATTCATGGAGATGACTGTTGATTAATGTTTCAACTTGGCAAGCTGACCCAACACTTGAGTGAAAGGGATAATGGAAGGCAGAGGACGCCTTTGAAGCATTTCGTCGAACACATTGAGAGCATCCTCAACATTAGTGATTTTCACACGCTGGTGTTGTTGGGTGTTTCTTGATTACGTCGATTTAGAAGCTCGAGAATGAAACAAACCCAAGTAATTGTTGAAGAAAACAACGACAGAAGAAAATTGAACAAGAAAAAGGCAGCATACCTCCGAATCTGAGTCCGAGTCTGCTGCTGCCATAACCAACTTTCAAAGAAGAAGAAGAAGCAGTAGCTGTTGTTGCCCGCATCATCTTCGGTGAGTCAGCGAGTCCGTGCGTAAATCCTCTTTCGAAAAACGTTTGCTGAGGATGATTTGTGGAGGAAAGAATCTGCTTCAACCTGTTAGCGCGATTTTGTTTTTCTTCTTAGTTTGAAAACAAGAAGGGTAAAGCTCTCAACCTTCAATATCCCTATTTGACGAACAAAATTAAAGACAACTACCTAATAAAATACGGTCAAAATAGTAATATCCTACCATTCACAAATTTATATTACCAACAGGACTTGTGAAATTTCCGGAGAGCACTGTTCGGAGCATACATGGAGAGTTTCACTTTGAAAGAATCTCATTAGCGTTTCACTTGATTTCTATCTGGCTAATCTATACATTTTTAAAATTAGCTTTGATGGTTTTGTTCATGCTAAGGGTTTGTAATTCGAGGTCATAATAGTAATCCAACAAAAAGGGAGCCTTACATTTCCAAGCCTATACCACCAATGGATATGTCAACTTATGCATCGAGCTTCAAACCAGCAGGTCTCTTGGATCACTAGAGTTAAAATAGTTGCAAACTCAAATCATTCTTCATTCACGGTAGTAATCTGTAAAGATATCCAGATTCTTACAACATCTTATGCTGGTCCTCGTTTTCGGAAGGAAAGGCTTCCTGAGAAGTACATAGCCGTTGTATCAGGTGTCCCTTCTGCTATTCACCCAGGAGCTTGTAGTACTCGCAGTTGGATGGCAAAGTCCGCCGGTTTTTGCCTTGTATTGGGATATGAAATTGCAACTTTCTCTTCAGGTTACGTGCACATGCTCGCTTAATTAAACACCGTCAGTTGGGACAAGGCATAACCGTAATGATTAACTCCACATCTATGCCAAATTGATCTCTTCCAAATTGCTGGTCTTTTACTTGTCATCCAGTCTGTTTATCGTGCCAGCACTATTGAAATTTACTCAACGCCTGCACCTGTTAATATGAGGGGATTGTTCAGGGCATGCATCTTCATTCTTCAGCCCTGAGCATCCTTCCTGTTCTAGATTCAGAAAAGGAAGATTGACGGAGCCAAACATTTACTTGCAATTGCCTTCTTATTGCACATACATTACCCATAGGACTTGTTAAACTCCATATCAACAACTCAAGGCATTTATTTCAATGGTGAACTTGCAATATTTTAGTGCAGATAGAAAAATGATTAAGAAAAGATGGAATTCGTATATTCTTTGTTTAATCACAGATGACATTGTTTGATCGGATACAGATTGTACCTTTCATGATGGAATTCGGATGCATCATCATATGTGTATTGTATCTGGTGTTGGAGCAAAGTTTAAGAAATGGATTGAGTCCTCCTCCTGTAGCTATCATTTCCTCCATTGCTTCTTTCATCAGACCCATATCCTTTAAAATTAATTATACATAATCTCCTCAAGATAATTATTACCAAAAAATAAAAGAGAAGTTAAACCAAGCCATAAATATGTCTACGAATTTCATATCAGTCCCATTACTCTGCTTTTCAACAAATTTCATAATCTTTAAAGAAAAGTATCATAAGAGTTGCTCGATCACTTGATAGATTCAATTAATAACACATATAGATTCAATTAATAACACATATCATATATCACTAGCCAATGCACGAATGAATGGCTACCTGAACTGCACTCAGCAGCAGAACAACTCCCTCCAATGTAGCATTCAAGAGAAGGAAGCACCGAAACTTGTCAAAACTGAAAAGATGCAAAACAATCTCATCCTGGTCTTTCTATAAATGCCAACAAAGCGGGATCTACTTTATCTTTACAAAATAAAATAACGACCAACTCCGTAGTTGATGCATCTGCAGAAAAACCTCTGAAGTAATTCATAATCCTATAGTATATTTGAGAACAAGGCAGTGCTTGCAACCACTGAAATGTGATTTCCAATCTTACCTGGGTATCCCATATACTTTATAAATGTTTTAAGTTAAATAATATTTACATGCAAGAAAGAAAACGGCAAAGCCCATGTATGCACGTCAACAAATAACAATCGAAAAGTCTAAGCCCCATTACTCGGCTTTTTCAACAGATTTCATAAAAAGAAGAGTATCATAAAAGTTGCTCTATCACTTGATATATTCAATTAATAACACATATCATACATCACTAGCCAATGCACGAATGAATGGCTACCTGAACTGCACTCAGCAGCAGAACAACTCTCTTCAATGTAGCATTCAAGAGAAGGAAAACTTGTCAAAACTGAAAAGATGCAAAACAATTTCATCACGGTCTTTCTATAAATGCCAACAAAGCGGGATCTACTTTATCTTTAGACAATAAGTTAACGACCAACTCCGTAGTTGATGCATCTGCAGAAAAACCCCTCTCCACCATTTCTTGAATAAGCCTCACCGCTGTTGATGTCTCGTTGTTATTGATAAACCCTCGGATAATTGTGTTGTACATGAAACCATCTGGACAACAACCTTTCTCTTCCATTTCTCTAAGCAAGTTTTCTGCTTCACTTGCTAGTCCCCGGTTGCAAAATCCACTAATCATTATGGTATATGTCCTGACATTAGGTTGAATTCCCTTTGATGATAAACTACAAAAGAGATCCCATGCATATTCAAATTTTTCAGCTTTACACAATCCTTCAATAAGAATATTGTAAGTTACAATATCAAAATCCAACTTCTTTCCCTCCATCTCTTCCAACAATTCAACTGCCTTGGGAAATTGTTGGTTTTTACAAAGGCCATTCAGTAAAATATTATACGTTTGAACATTTGGAAGTTGGCCACAAGCTTGCATTTGAGAGAACAAGTTACGTGCATCTTGTGTTCTCCCCATCTTGCAAATCCCATCAATAAGAGTGGTATAAGTAACCGTATCTGGAACAACTCCCTTACGAGACATTTCCAGAAAAAGCATCTGGGCCTCATCTATCCTTTTATGCTTACAATAGCCGTTGATCAATATGTTATAACTACGAGCATTAACCATGCAACCTTTGCTAAGCATCACTTCAAAAACCATTTTTGCCTCGTCCATTTCTCCTCGCATACAGCAACCATCTAGAAGCGAATTGTACGTAATTGTATTGGGTGCTATATCCCTTTGCGTCATCATTTCGACCACGCTCCTTGCTTCCTGGACCATCCCTTCTTTACAAAATGTATCAACCAAAACACTGAAGGTGCACACATCTGGAAAGATATGTTTACTCACCATTTCATTCAACAATCTTGTAGCTTCTTTCCAGTTTCCTAATTTGCAAACTCCATGAACCAAAGAGGTATAGGTAATGACATTTGGGGCAATACCCTTACTCATCATTTCTGAGAAGAGCTTCAATGCATCAACAACTTGAGTATCCTTGCAAAGACTGTCGATGATCGTGCTATAGACAACTAAGTTAGGCTTGCAACCTCTTTCTTCCATCTTCTTAAGAATCTGGATTGCTGCAGTGTTGTTACCTTTTGCGCAAAGGCCCTTTACTAGGGTACCGAAAGTAACCACATTCGGTTTACAGTTACCACTATCCAACATTTTATTGAAAAGTGCTGCAGCCTCGGCCTCTCTATTCTTAAGAAGAAAGCCGTTGATTAGAGTGGTGTAGGTCGTGACATCTGGCTCAAAACCTAATTTGAAGAAGTTACCCAAGACTGACAAACTAAACTCCACTTGGTTGAGATGACAAAAGCAATTAATGATAATGTTTAGAGTATAAACATCTGGACGAATTCCGGACACAACCATTTGGTTATTCATGGAGATGACTGCCGAATAATATTTCATCCTGGCAAGTTGAGTCAAGATTTGGTTGAAAGGGACAACGGGAGGCAGAGGACGCCTTTGAAGCATTTCGTCGAACACATTGAAAGCATCCTCAACATTACTGATTTTCACAAGCTGGTGTTGTTGAGTGTTTCTTGATTCGGTCGATTTAGAAGCTCGAGAGTGAAACAAAGCCAAGTAATTGTTGAAGAAAACAACAACAGGAGAAGATTGAAGAGGGCAAGGAAGCATACCTCTGGTGCTGCTGCTTCCATAACCAACCTTCAAAGAAGAAGAAGCAGCAATCGTTGCTCGCATCATCTTCAGCATCTCTAATTGTTGTAAGACTTTGTGAGAGTTGAAGAGCATGAATTTCATGTTTTTTTTCTAGTTCTTAGATTAACGCAAATTGAAAATAAATACACAAACCAACGAAAAAAATGATTCTATTTTGTCATGATTTTAGGTTTGGTCATAATTAAATTTCTTTTGAGTCTATATATAAAACGAACCAAGTGAATAAGATATTTTAAAAAGTGAAAAACGGTTCGGTCTGGTTTTGAGCTTCCACCAAGATGAAAACTGAAATGGATATGAACGGTTCGGTTCAATTTTTGAACGTTCGTTAATTTTTTTTTTTTTTTTTATTTGTCAACATTGTTTTTTTCGGTTTATTATGTCGTTGTTCAATTCAGTTCCATGATTTTTATGTCCTCCCCTACAATTATATATAGAAATAAGGGCATGTATTTCATATTACACTTCTTGTAGGTCAGGAGAGGCTGAAATACCTCTGTTAGTCTTTCTGACCTCCGAAATGATGGAATGTCATGACAAAGCCACCAGTTGGTCAGTTTTTTTTTTTTTTTTTTTTTTGTAACATACAATACTGCATTAAAATTGAAATTTTTTTTTTTAACAAACGATATTATCTACACCAAAAGAGGGAGACAAAGTGGACAAAACCTCACAATGGGTTAGCCATGTTAATGTGGTTCAAATCTAAGACATTATTATTTACAAGTGAATAGGAATGTTACTAAAATGTAGTATTAAGTGGCAATTGAAAACGTTATTTGATGCAAAAGTGAGAAGTACTGAGCATGAAAGTTTTGCATGCTTAAAGCCGTGAAACAAGTCAACAATGAAGAGCACCACCTTCGTTATTCATACGTCACTAGGCAATGCATGAACGAATGGCTACCTGAACTGGACTCAACAGCAGAACAACTCCCTCCTCCAATGTAGCATTCAAGGGAAGGATGCACTGAAACTTGTCAAAACTAAAAACATGCAAATCAATTTCATCATGGTCTTTCTCTAAATGCCAACAAAGTGGTATCTACTCTATCTTTAGACAATAAATTTCATCATGGTCTTTCCCTAATTGCCGCTCATGAACTTACTCATGCAAGCTCATGAGTAGCACCAGTAGTAGCACTAGAAGCAAACAATATAAATTGGCAGCGGCGGCAAATAATGGAGGAGGAGCAGACGGCACAGCTGCGCGAAATCTTCCGATCGTTTGACGGCAACAAAGACAGCAGCTTGACCGAATCAGAGTTGTAAAATAATTGACTAAGAGATCAATGAAGAGTGTAAAACAATTGCAATACGGTGATTTAGCAAGTTAATGGAGTTTTCTCTCCTGTTAGGGTGAGAGTTTCTCTCCGCACTAGAAGAAAAATGTTCATCTACCACGGTGAATGCTCGTGATAGATTGCAATCCACCACAAACATTGTGCCCGTTAGTAATTTGGAAGTGATAAAAAGTCTCAATTTCTACCACGAGTTATGCCCGTTGTCAAATGTAATGTAACCATAAACAATGCTTATTGTAGATTGGAATTTACCACAGGTACTACTGCCGTTGTGGATTAGTTATTTACCATGAGTAATGGCCGTTATAAAAAAAAAAATAAAAAAATTATATAAATCCACAAAGTTGGAAATTTATTTATTTTTTTTTTAAATAATCACATATTAAAAAAGAATTACAAACTGTACAAAGCTAACAACACCACCATCGATTTTCAATTTTTTTAAGCCTGAGAGGTTCAAACTCTCGCAGGGAATCCCTATGCACTTAGCAAGCACACGCCTTAACCACTCGGCCAAAGCGACTGTTGATGACTTAGGAGGCTACTAATCATTTTTAATTAATTATTTAATTAATCAAAGTCCTTGTTTCTAAATGAGGATCTTCAAGATCTCAAGGATCCTCTAATCACATTCGTTCATCGTACATCGTGCATATATTTTTCTTCAGGTACGGTTGATATTCAACTTTAAATTAAAAAAAAATACAATGATTTATGATCATACAATGTACAATGAACCGACATGATTGGAGGGTTCCGAAGATCCTCACAAGAGAATTTGGAGAGGATCCTTGTCCCTATTTTTCTCTCGTGAACTTAGTCATGCAAGCTCATGAGTAGCACCAGTACTAGCACTAGAAGCAAACAATATAAATCGGTGGTGGCGAGGAATAATGGAGGAGGAGCAGACGACACAGCATCGCGAGATCTTCCGATCGTTTGACGGCAACAAAGATAGCAGCCTGACCGAGCCGGAGTTGTAAAATAATTGACCAAGAGATCAATGAAGAGTGTAAAATAATTACAATAAGGTGATTTAGCAAGTTAATGGAGTTTTCTCTCCCGTTAGGGTGAGAGTTTCTCTCCGCACTAGAAGCAAAAAATGCTCGTCTACCACGGTGAATGTCCATCTTAGATTGCAATCCACCACAAACATTGTGCCCGTTAATAATTTGGAAGTGATAAAAAGTCTCAATTTCTACCACGAGCTATGCTCGTTGTCAAATGTAATGTAACCACAAACAGTGCCCGTTGTAGATTGGAATTTACCACGGGTACTATTGCCGTTGTAGATTACTTATTTACCACAAGTAATGTCCGTTATTAAAAAAAAAAAAAAAAAATATATATATATATATATATATATATATATATATATAAACCCACAAAATTGGAAATTTACTATAAATACAATTTTTTTAAATAATCACATTAAAAAAGAATTACAAACTGTACAAAGCTAACAACACCACCATTGATTTATACTAGGAAATATCAAACTACACATGAAGCATCAACTAGGCCTCAAACAACAAGGAAATTGTCAGTTGAAAGACTTCACTTTTCCTTGAACACCTCCAAACGCCTTTGAAAGTTAATACTATGAACTGTCGTTAACCTATGAACAACTGAAATTATAAACAATGTAAATCACAAACATGCAGTAGTATTGAAAATCAATAAGCACCGACAACAACAAACAAACTCAAAACTAACGAAAGCATTACTTGAATTCTGCCATCGGTCAAAATATATGCAATACTTGTACTAAATAAACAATTACTTGAAGTTGGGAATTACCATTTCAACCAAGTTTCTTGAAGTTATTTAGTGAGCCACCAAAGAGAAGGATCTTGGAGTCCTTGACCTTGAGGTAGAATTACAACTTGAGGCAGAAGCTTGAACAAGGGAAATTGCCATTACTGCAGAAAAGATTCAAATAAAGCAATAAAGCATAGTGTGAGAAAAGACTCGAGTGCACCTCAAAATACATATAAAGGAAGAAAACAAAAAATATATATAATGAATAGGCAAAGAACATGGATAAGGCAAATACATTTTCTGAGAAGCCATGAACACGAGTCGCACCATTCGTAGCCACCATCTGCATCTCCATTCATTAAACACCCACAACCAAAACGTATAAGAAAACAACTTGAAATCAGGATTGCCATTTATTAACATCTAAGTAATTGGATGCAATTATATATAGAGCCGGCGACAAATACAGAGACCTTCGTACAAACTGTTCTTTATTACACTGGAGCTTTTCCGTTAACATCTCAATCAGAACAAGACATACTCGTGCACATACCTAAGAAGCAAAGTGGATCATCCCACTGATTTTTTTTTATCACAATGGACATATTTCAAATATATAGGTTACCAAGATTTATTCAAGCTTAGGTTAGGTAAAGAAATTGAGGGAAACATCTTCAAATTACTAACCATATGATGGCCCATGAACTAGTTAAGTTGAGGAAATGGTAGCTGCGATCAAACCAACAAAACAACTACAACTACAACAGTATTAGAACAAATACAATACAAAATTAAAATACAAGAGCAAAGTTCCTAAATTTGAGTGAGAATATAGAGGATCAAATTCAAAACTCTAACCCTAAAATCCGTCCAAATATTTGCATACCAATTTCTAAGCCATAAAGTGAGAAAGGCTAGCAAATGCAAACTGCCCTGCAACCCAATCGTCATCCACCATCATTCATAAGAGAGAATAAGCTAGGGGTAGTTTTTGAACAAGAAATACGTTACTGCGACAAATTATTATCAAAGACTCATTAATAAAGGAATATAAAAAAAAAAACGATACAAATGAAAATCAAACTTACCCAACCGAAAAAAAAAAAAAAAAAAAAAAAGGAATATTCATCCAAATGTAAACTCTTCCTATTGGCTGGCAAAGCGATGAGATTTGACGGAGCGACGGACGAATCGATGGAGTGACAGCGTAGCAATGGACAGACAGATAGTGAGCGGTGGAGGTGAGAAAAAGGGTGAAACCAAGGCCGAATTTATAAGGTTTTAAACGAAATTGGGGAAAATTGCTTCAAAAACAAAGCTTTTGATGGCAGTTTTGAAGAGATTCTGGTGCGTAGAGTCCCATCTCCGCTGAGTTGGCTCGGAGGAGGAAGAAGGGTTCTTCTTGCATCAATAAAGGGACGAATCGGGAAACATGAAGAAGGTTTGAGAAGAAGTATGAACAGGGGTGCTAGTGGGGACATAGGATTGGAGTAGATATGGAAGCCACTAAGAGCACTTCCACCGTGTGCTCCAGCCCGAGGGACAGGCACAGGAACAGGGCCAAAGGGCCCGAGTGATGAAGTCCAGCGTGTGCTGGCGAGCGAGCCCAAGCAACCCCGAGCGAGAGGCCAGGTAGGAATCGACAACCCGAGAGCCTGAGGGTTGTGTGACGTGTGGCTGATGTGCGGCATCGATGCATGCGCCGACCTTGACATCTCTTCGTCCTCCTTCCCCTCATTTGACCTGGATCTACACACACAAACCCTCAATTCGAACGAAAAACATCAACTATACATAATCAATTTCAAAAAATTAAATTAAACTAAATTTTCCAATAAAATTACGGTTCTAAAACCACCGCATATACGATCAAATTCGATCGGCAGCAAATAAATCAAGCAAAAAATTAATAAATAAAAAAAAGAATCAGCGGATTGAAATCACTATTCAGGATTGATGGCTGGGACTTAGAACGAGTCGTGAAAAATTAGGGAGAAATTCTAGTCCCGGCAAGCAGCTATCGCTATGTGTAGAGAGAAGGGAAGTGGAAGAGAAAGGGAAGGGAATGAAAGCAGAGAAGATGAGAGGAAGACGAAGATTGGGGAAGAAGGAGAAACCGAGCAGGGAGGGAATGAAAGCAAAGAGGAGGGGAGATGATGATGGTGGAATGAGGGAAAAAGGTAAATGAGGGGAAAAAGGGAAAGAAAGACAGAAAGAAAAAGAGAGAGAGAGAGAGAGAGAGGAAGAACCGGTCAAATGAGGAGAAAAAGGGAAAGGGTGATAGGGATGTTTGATGGATTGGGTGAGAGAAAAAAATATTTTATTGTTTATTGCCAGAGCTATTCAAGTGTAACGATGGAGATGCAAAAGGCAGTTACTGTTCATTAAGGGCAGTTACTGTTCACTGGGTAGATTAAATAGTGAATAGCCTGGGGAGGGTTTCTCACGGTGGAAGTGCTCTAAGAGAGAGGGAGAAAAAGAGAGAGGACAAAAATTAACAAACTAAAAAAAGGGAAAGGAAGATAAAGTGGAAGAGATGGGGGCATGGAGAAGGCAGAGAGTGCGCAAAGTGAACTTGTCAAATTTCAAATATGTTCAAAATTTTTCAAAATTTGGTGTCCCGCCTTCTCTGTTTTTTTTAATTATGAATGATTGTACCACACGTTATGTTTATGGTAGATAATAAAAAGGCGATGCGTATATATATTTTTTTTTTTTTAAGGAAAGACGATATCATTAACTTGGAAAAGTTACTTTGTTTCTTGGATGAGAAGATCCAAAATAACACTCAGAGGCTCCTCAATCCAAACTAAACGAGTCCCACTTGACACTGCTACATTTGCCAAACAATGGGCAATACCATTATTATTCCTAAAAATAGAAATAAACTTCGAAGCAGTAAACGAAGCTGCACTATGTAAATCATCCCCCAATAGCAAATCCATGACCGAATCATGATCCACACAAGTATTGATAATGGAAATTGCTTGGGAGGAGTCACTTTCGACTTGAACCTTTTGATAGCCAACTCCACTTCATGCTTAATCGCTAGCAACTCAGCTTGGAGAGTCGAGGAAACAAAGGGAAGAAAGCGTGTCGTTGCTACCACAAAAGCTCCCTATGCGTCACGGATTACCACACCAGCCCTACCCACCTCAACCTGCAATTTAGTAGCAACCTCCACATTCTCTCTCACCCAATATTCCGCCACCACCCTAGGCATCAAACCATTTCCCCCTGCCGAGTACGAGCCGTCTGTTGCTGAGCAGTAAGTACAAGATCTGCCGCAGCCCAGAATTCCTGCAACCATGCCACAACACGTTGCACCACAACCCCTGGGGCCTCTTGCTTCCACTCCAAATTTGATCATTCCTCGCCTGCCAAAGATGCCAAACCACCATACAAATGAAATTGAAAGCAAAATGATTAGTTTGTAACAACAACAAAAACCACTCATTGACTGATCCACAAGGGACGGAATTAACCAGAAAGCTACATGGGGCCGCAAACCATGTAGCTCTAGCAAAATGACACTATTTGAGAACATGCACCACTGTCTCCGATGCTCCATTACAGAAAATGCACGTCAAATCCGATGTAAACCTTTCTTAGACAAATTCTCTTTTGTCAGGAGAATATTATGACAAGTCCTCCACACCATATTCCTCACTTTCGGTGGGACTTTGGCATTCCATATAGCTTTACATAAAAGAGTAAACGGATTTCCTGCAGAAGCTGAAGAAGACGCACTTAGTGACAGTGGTTTAATAGAATTCCATGCAACCCAATAAGCACTCTTGACTGTGAAAATACCCCAGTCATTATAATGCCAGATTAGTTTATCAGATGGAAGCCGATAACTAATGGGCAAAGCACGAATATGCTCCCTGTCTTCTTCCTTAAAATACTCAGTCAACTTAGCGTCACACCACTTGTTCCTTTCCACATCAATAAGCTCAGAACCCTCATATCCTCTCGAGATGGAGGCGGCATCATTATGGGACAAAATGTCAAGGGTCGTGGCACCCACCTATTCCTCCATACCCGCATTGAAGCCCTATCCCCAATCAGCCATCTCGAGCCCTTCTCCAACACCATTCTAGCTTTGAGTATGCTAGACCAACAATATGAAGAAGACGAGGGAACAAAGGGTGTCCCAAAAAGAAGTATTGGGGAAATACCTAGCCTTAAATAGCCTTGCCGTTAAGGACTCTACGTTTTGGACAATTTGCCAACCTTGTTTTGCCAGTACCTCCAAGTTAAAAGCATAAAGATTCCAAAACCCCATACCACCTTCCGGTTTAGCAATGCACAACTTATCCCGTGATTGCCAATGAATCTTCCTCGAGTCCAGATCACTGCCCCACCAAAACCGAGCCATTAACTGATGTAACTCATCACAAAAAGTCTTTGGAAGCACAAAACAATTCATAGCATATGTAGGCAGTGCCTGAGCCACCACTTTCACGAGCAATTCACGTCCCACTCCACTTAAGCACTTCCCTTTCCAACTACTCAACCTCTTGTGGACTCGTTCTTTGATATAAGCATAAGTTTGGCGTTTATTCTTACCCGCGAACGTAGAGTGGCCCAAATAATGCACATGTCGTTCCACCAATTGGACCCCCAAAAAATTGGCAAGCCCTTGCTGCTCTCGGCCATGCACGTTAGCACTGAACGCAATACTAGTCTTCCCCAAGTTTATTTCATGCCCTGACGCTTGGGAGAAAACACCTAAAATACGTTGGACCACAGCGCATTCATCCAGATTGGTTTTACCAAACAAGAAAATGTCGTCAGCAAACAATAAGTGATGGATACTAGGCTCAGCCTCACAAATCCGAATCCCGCTAAGAACTCTCATTTGCTCATTATACACAATAAGTGCCGATAAACCCTCAATGCAAAGGAGGAATAAATAGGGAGATAACGGATCACGCTGACGTAGACCACGAGAAGGCTCCATATACCCATATGTTTCCCCATTGGCCAAAAAGGAGTACGACATAGATTTCACACACATCATCACCACCGACACCCATCGACTATCAAACCCCAACTTCAACATCACATCTTCCAAAAAGTTTCACTTCACCCTATCATAGGCCTTACTAAGATCCACTTTGAGAGCAAAAGAACCTTCATGACCCCACCGTTTGTTATGAAGATAATGACCTATTTCCAACGCTACCAAAGTATTATCAGCAATCAACCGCCCTGGGACAAAAGCACTCTAATACGGAGAAATTATTATATTCAAAAATTTCTTCAAACGATTCGCAATCACCTTTGCCTCAATCTTATATATGACATTACACAAACTAATCGGTCGTAACTGTGATATCTCATACGGCTGATTCACCTTAGGAATCAAGACTACATGAGTGAAACAAACCTCCCGTAGTGATCTTCCAAATGTGAGAAAAAAGTGAACAACATTCACCATATCATGCTTTACAACATGCCAGAACTTCTAAAAAAATAGGGGTGACTTATCGTCCAGTCCCGGAGCTTTGGACGAGTGCATTTGGAAGAGTGCAAACCGGATCTCCTCCTTCAAGTAAGGTCTCAACAGTTCCTCATTCATTTAAGTAGTAACACATCGTGAACATGCCCCTGTAACCTCCTACACCGCACGATCCAGGACGCCCTGAGAACGAAAAATATTCTGAAAATACCCCACTACCGTGCCTTCAATGCCAACCCTTGAATCCTACCATACCCCATTCGCATCCCTCAACCCGTTTATATTATTTTTCCGTTTATGGTTTAACGCCCGCAAATAAAAAAACTTCATATTCTTGTCCCCTTCCTGTAACCACTGGACACGTGACCGTTGTCTCCAATACATCTCCTCCCTTCGTAAAAGTGAGTTAAGTCGACCCATCAATTCACCCATTGCTTCATAGACTTCGGCCGGAGAATCTCCTAATCCTCAGCATTTCCAACACAAAGCATGCATTGTGAACGACGGGTGTGCTCGCTGGCACACTCCACGGTGGGTGTGCTCGCTGTGGATATTAATCATATTAACCATGATTATCACGCATGGTGACTTAGTATATTTACAACATGCAACTTTGCGCGTGATTATTAATTACTATTTTACCACGGACTAAAATTTGCCTGTGATAAAAAATTGTTATTCACCATGTGCTCACTATGCCCGTGGTAAATTTGTATTTTTTTACAATGGACTCTTAATGCCCGTGATCAAATTGTTGTGGTAGATGAGATGTTGTCTTCTAATGTCGGTGTGTGAGAGTTCAACCTTCTAATTTTAGTTCATTCAAGCTGGTTTCTTCATCTTTTCCACACCTTAGCTGCCGCCAATCCTAGTTGTGGTTGCCATCTTCCACCCCAACAGCTTTGATAGGATTGGTTTCCTCAGTATCTGAGTTTCGATCTGGAAGCCCCTCGGGTTAATCGATATAGTTTATGAATTTATCGAGCCTAAGATGTCCATCTATAATTGACTTAACTCATTTGTGCTTATTAGTCTATTTAATGTTGGATCAAATGGGACAATTTATAATAAAAAAAATGCTAGAGGAATCAATGTATAAATTATTTTTGTAAACCACTTACAGTTGATAATTATGCACTTTTTTTTTAATAGAAAAAATTGTAGTAATGGTCTTTCAATTTTAACTCAATTGGAACAATAGTTCATCAACTAAAAATCAAGGTTCTAAAAAATCCTAGGTGCTAGTCGGGGTAGATTTTAGGTAAATTTCTTGTATATCTTGTAAATAAGTGCATATTTACACTTACCAAAAATTATACTAGTATGAAATCCATGGATAAGATAATAAAAGAAGGATAAAATGCAAAAAGAGTATCCAACAAGTCCAAAATTTAAAAACACATTAAGCATATATGCCATATAACAATAGTGAGGAGTATTGTAGGATGACACATATACAACAAGTTCACAATTTAAAACCACATAAAATGCAAAAATAGGAGGAAAATAAGGAAATATAGTAATGTAAGATGCTTATCATTAGCATCCCGGAATTTAAGTTGATACACACCTATTTTATAAAATTAACAAAATTTCAAGGTATAAACATAGGTTCACGTAGTACCAACTGTGAATGAAAATGTCTGGACCTGAGGGTGATAGAGCGGTAAGAGCTTTCAAAGCCTCCATCCTTGTGCTGTCATCTTTAGCGGCCCCCAACATATGCACGAACTCTTGAGCACCACCCATCTCCACACTTTTCATTCTCCTTTCATCTGTAAATCAAGAGAAGACGTAAAATTTTACAACTTGATTTCACAGCTGGAGATCAGAGAAATGAAACAAGCACTTACATGTTACACAGCTCAAACACAAGAAAGTTTCTGAAAATGATTCCTGCGTAAACTGTATATGGTAATTCATTACCAAGTGTGCTTTACAATATCAAAAGTGAATTGCTTTACCAACAAGGCAACCAGCACCTATACCTATATGTAAAACAGATAGAAAACGTACAAATGAAGTAATTCATAATCCTATAGTATACTTAAGAACAAGGCAGTGCTTGCAACCACTGAAATGTGATTTCCAATCTTATCTGGGTATCCCATATACTTTATAAATGTTTTAAGTTAAATAATATTTACGTGCAAGAAAGAAAATGGCAAAGCCCATGTATGCACGTCAACAAATAACAATCGAAAAAGTCTAAGTTTCATTACTCGGCTTTTTCAACAGATTTCATAATCTTAAAAGAAGATTATCATAAAAGTTGCTCTATCACTTGATATATTCAATTAATAACACATATCATACATCATTAGCCAATGCACGAATAAATGGCTACCTAAACTGCACTCGGCAGCAGAACAACTCCCTCCACTGTAGCATTCAAGAGAAGGAAGCACCAAAACTTGTCAAAACTGAAAGGATGCAAAACAATTTCATCACGGTCTTTCGATAAATGTCAACAAAGCAGGATCTACTTTATCTTTAGACAATAAATTAACGACCAACTCCGTAGTTCATGCATTTGCAGAAAAAACTCTCTCCACCATTTCTTGAATAAGCCTCACCGCAGTTGATGTCCCGTTGTTATTGATAAACCCTCGGATAATTATGTTGTACGTGCAGTCATCTGGACAACAACCTTTCTCATCCATTTCTCTAAGCAAGTTTTCGGCTTCACATATTAGCCCTCCATTACAAAATCCACTAATCATTGTATTTTACGTCCTGGCATTAGGTTGAATTCCTTTTGATGGTAAGCATCGAAAGAGATCCCATGCATATTCAACTTTTTCAGCTTTGCACAATCCTTCAATAAGAATATTGTAAGTTACAATATCAAAATCCAACTTCTTTCCCTCCATCTCTTCCAAAAGTTCAACTGCCATAAAAAGTTGCTGGTTTTCACAAAGGCCATCCAGCAAAATATTATAAGTTCGAATATTTGGAAGTCGGCCACAAGCTTGCATTTGAGAGAATAAGTTATGTGCATCTCGTATTCTTCCCATCTTGCAAAACCTATCCATAAGAGTGTTATAAGCATCTTCAACATTACTGATTTTCACAAGCTGGTGTTGTTGAGTGTTTCTAGATTCAGTCGATTTAGAAGATCGAGAGTGAAACAAAGCCAAGTAATTATTGAAGAATACAAAGCCAAGCACTTATATGTTCACAGCTGGAGATCAGAGAAATGAAACAAGCACTTATATGTTACGCAGCTCAAACACAAGAAAGTTTCTGAAAATGAATTGCTTTACCAACAAGGCAACCAACACCTATACCTGTATGTAAAATAGATAGAAAATGTACAAAAGAAATATTTCTTTCAACAAATGAAGTAATTCATAATCCTATAGTATATTTGAGAACAAGGCAGTGCTTGAAACCACTGAAATGTGATTTCCAATCTTATCTGCGTATCCCATATACTTTATACATGTTTTAAGTTAAATAATATTTACGTGCAAGAAAGAAAACGGCAAAGCCCATGTATGCACGTCAACAAATAACAATCGAAAAGTCTAAGCCCCATTACTCGGCTTTTTCAACAGATTTCATAATCTTAAAAGAAGAGTATCATAAAAGTTGCTCTATCACTTGATATATTCAATTAATAACGCATATCATACATCACTAGCCAATGCACGAATGAATGGCTACCTGAACTACACTCAGCAGCAGAACAACTCTCTCCAATGTAGCATTCAAGAGAAGGAAAACTTGTCAAAACTGAAAAGATGCAAAACAATTTCATCACGGTCTTTCTATAAATGCCAACAAAGCGGGATCTACTTTATCTTTAGACAATAAGTTAACGACCAACTCCATAGTTGATGCATCTGCAGAAAAACCCCTCTCCACCATTTCTTGAATAAGCCTCACCGCTGTTGATGTCTCGTTGTTATTGATAAACCCTCGGATAATTGTGTTGTACGTGAAACCATTTGGACAACAACCTTTCTCTTCCATTTCTCTAAGCAAGTTTTCTGCTTCACTTGCTAGTCCCCGGTTACAAAATCCACTAATCATTATGGTATATGTCCTGACATTAGGTTGAATTCCCTTTGATAAACTACAAAAGAGATCCCATGCATATTCAAATTTTTCAGCTTTGCACAATCCTTCAATAAGAATATTGTAAGTTACAATATCAAAATCCAACTTCTTTCCCTCCATCTCTTCCAACAATTCAACTGCCTTGGGAAATTGTTGGTTTCTACAAAGGCCATCCAGTAAAATATTATACGTTTGAACATTTGGAAGTTGGCCACAAGCTTGCATTTGAGAGAACAAGTTACGTGCATCTTGTGTTCTCCCCATCTTGCAAATCCCATCAATAAGAGTGCTATAAGTAACCGTATTTGGAACAACTCCCTTACGAGACATTTCCAGAAAAAGCATCTGGGCCTCATCTATCCTTTTATGCTTACAATAGCCGTTGATCAATATGTTATAACTACGAGCATTAACCATGCAACCTTTGCTAAGCATCACTTCAAAAACCATTTTTGCCTCGTCCATTTCTCCTCGCA